CAAAAAAAAAAAGGTGAAAAAAACACTATGACGGGGCATGCTTTCTAAGGTAGAATTTAGCTGAAAACAGCAAGGCCCTCTGCCAGTTTTTCATAAGTAGCTACAAGAAATATGTAAGATTTAAACTGACTTTGTTGTGAATTCTTTAATATAAAATATTCAGAGTTGGTTTTAATTGTCTCGTTTTATATATTTTTTAACCATTTGTCAGTTTGAATCAGGACCCAAAGAAGATCCATACTCTGTGATTGATTGATTGATTGATTGACTGATTGATTGATACATCTTTTAAGTTTCCTTTGTCTGTAACAGGGTTTCTCAACCTCAGCACTGTTGATATTTGGGTCCCAGTAATTCTTTGTTGTGGAGGACTGTCTTGTGCATATAGCAAGGTGTTTAGTAACATCTCTGGCCTCTGCCCACTGGATGCTAAGTAGCATACCCACCCCAGAAGTGACAGACAAAAATGCCCCCAGGCCTTGACAAATGTCCCCTGAAGGCAAAGTCATCCTAGGTTGAGAACCACTGACCTGCAGGTTCTCTCTCTATCCTTCCCATTATTTTCTCCTGGTGATTTATTTGCAAAAGAAACTGGATAATTAATCCTGCAGTTTCTTTCAGTCTCAATTTCACTGATTTTTATCCCTATAGTGTAACTTAACACCCTCTGTTCACCAATTTCCTGCTAATTGATAGTTGGATCTAGAGGCTATATTGGTTTCAGATATTTTTGTTTGACAAGACTGCTTCATAGGTAGTGTTCTGTTCTTTCATCAGGAGGCACATAATGTGTGTTGTCTTTTTGTAACATTAACAACCACTGATGCCTAATTCATTCCTCAGGGGTCTTTTTTGTTTTAAAATATATTGTATATCTTTTCATTTGGACAAATTTTATTTTAAATAACAATCTGTGTTCTCCCTTAATAAAGGAAGGGGAAATGGAAGGTGAGGCGGTTGAAGCCATTGTGGAGGAGTCTGAAACTTTCATTAAAGGAAAGGAGAGAAAAACTTACCAGAGACGCCGGGAAGGGGGCCAGGAAGAGGACGCTTGCCACCTACCCCAGAACCAGACTGATGGGGGTGAGGTGGTCCAGGATGTCAATAGCAGTGTACAGATGGTCATGATGGAACAGCTGGATCCTACCCTTCTGCAGATGAAGACTGAAGTAATGGAGGGTACAGTTGCTCCAGAAGCAGAGGCTGCTGTGGACGATACCCAGATCATAACCTTGCAGGTTGTAAATATGGAGGAACAGCCCATAAACTTAGGAGATCTTCAGCTTGTTGAAGTACCTGTTCCCGTGACTGTACCTGTTGCTACCACTTCAGTAGATGAACTCCAGGGGGCTTATGAGAATGAAGTGTCTAAAGAGGGCCTTGCAGAAAGTGAACCCATGATATGTCACACCTTACCTTTGCCTGAAGGGTTTCAAGTGGTGAAAGTAGGGGCCAATGGAGAGGTGGAGACGCTAGAGCAAGGGGAACTTCCACCTCAGGAAGATCCTAGTTGGCAGAAAGACCCAGACTATCAACCACCAGCCAAAAAAACAAAGAAAACCAAAAAGAGCAAACTTCGTTACACAGAGGAGGGCAAAGATGTGGATGTGTCTGTTTATGACTTTGAGGAAGAGCAACAGGAGGGTCTGCTGTCAGAGGTTAATGCAGAAAAAGTGGTTGGTAACATGAAGCCTCCAAAACCAACAAAAATTAAAAAGAAAGGTAAAATTATTTTATCTATTATACTCTCAAAAACCCAATTTGGAATAAAGTATGTAACAGTACATATGCAAGTTATTTTATATTAAATGGATTTTGTTGTAAAGATCATGATGTGAGTCTTTTTAGGCAGTCTAAAGAAGTTTTTAAGTCCTGAAGAAAAAGAAGTAAATCTTTTAGTGGCATGAGATAATTATATTATCATATTTGTAGAAACTTAAGATTGGGATTAATCTTAACACTTTTTAAACCTACAACGAATTAAGTGTGGTTTTTTTTTGCATATAGGTGTAAAGAAGACCTTCCAGTGTGAGCTTTGCAGTTACACATGTCCACGGCGTTCAAATTTGGATCGTCACATGAAAAGTCACACTGATGAGAGACCACACAAGTGCCATCTCTGTGGCAGGGCGTTCAGGACAGTCACCCTCTTGAGGAATCACCTTAACACACACACAGGTGCTGAATAAGAATGTTGGGGACTACAGCATAGCAACTGTTAAAACTTGGGTTTTATAAGGATGGTGATCCAGAAAAAGATTATCTATGGTAGTTAACCTGTTGTATTTCCTGAAGACATCACCATTGTGTTGCTAAGGTTTTAACAACAACTAAAAATGACCCTCAAAATTCCTAGGCAGGAATTGCCAGGCACTATGCTGAAGAACATTAGAAATAGTAGTGAAGTCCTGCCTTTGTAAAAACTGTGGTTTCTGGTTGTTTTACCTCAAGGAAGATAAGTAATTTATAATCTCAGAATGGGAAGTTTAAGGTATCATTCACACTCCATGCATACTTCAGTATTGTAATACTAGCTTCACCTTGACTGTGGTCAGGTCTCGGGCACCAAAGTGGAAGGACCATGCACTGGAGCTCTCTTTATGCGCTTTTCCAGGCTTTTTGTATTTCAGTGTTGGCATTGGGCTGTAAGTGCTAATAATGAAACTTCTTTCACCCAGTTCCTTATGCAGAACAGCTCTTCTCTATCCAGATTCTCCACCTCATTTTATATGATGACTCTTGTTTTTTATTTAATGTGTTGGTTGTCCAATGAGCATGATTACCTGGGGGTTAGCCTACAAGCAGTGTGCTTATTGATGTTAGAGAGAAGAAAGGAGAGAGAGATAAAGAGAGAAACATTGACGTGAGAGGGATGATACATCGACTGGCTGCCTCCCATATGTGCCCTGACCAGGAATCGAACCCACAACCTTTCAGTTTACAGGACAACACTCCAACCAACTGAGCCAAGGCAAAGGTTCTTCCTTCATTGTCATGCTTATGTCTACCAGAGACAGGCCTCTTTCTTTCCTCTAGACAGTACTAGGTAAATGTTGGTGATTCTTGGTTTTCAGCTTACGTTGTTAAAAGAGAAATGGATGCTGCTTTCCTTCTCTTGTTAACTGTTGTTTTACTTATCTCACTATACCACCAGATTATACATTTTTCAGAGACAGAAACTCTTTCCTTCTTTCCTACATCCTCAATGGTACTAAAGGAACAAATTGAGCAAATGAACATTCTTTGGAATTTCTTCGTTCATGATCATATTCCAATCACACTTCCCTCTCCATGGATCTCTCAGTCCCTGGGAGAATCATTTCTGTAATGGCTGCCTACATTCATTACATTGTAACGCTTCCTAATTCCATTCTCAGAGGTAGCCTTCCTTTGGTTTTGGTGTTTGGGATTACCTTGCTGTCACCCCTTTACCTGTGGCGCACAACTAAACATGATCCCTACTTTCTGAATAATAGTCTGTAAAAACAGCCCTCTGTTCTAATGAGTCTTCAGAATACAAAGTGGCTAGAAAAGTTTTGCTAAAGTAATATGGGACTTTAAAAACAGTAAGATTCTTTCAATGAAAGGGTAAAAAAGAAATATATTGGGTATGTATGTTATTAGTTAATAAAAATGTTCAAATATTCCATGAGTTGACATGCAAATCATAGAATATTAGACATGGATGTTGGAAAGTGTTGAAAGTGATCTGTTTAAATTACATAAAGGCAATACTACTTGGTAAAGCCTTTGATAAATCTCTAAAATTCTTTATTAAAACAAATTTATATAGAAAACAAGTTATTATATATGTATTTTTTTAAAAGAAAAAACCTGTCAGAAATGGACAGCCCAATGGCCCTATATGTGTAATCATAATGCAGTAATATTTGATATGCAAAAGGATCTCTAGTCAAATAACTATTAAATTCTGTGACCTGTAATGATTCAACATTGAGATTTAAAAAATATTCTATGTCTTTTTAGCAAGGGTTGAAACAGAAGGGTGTTTTTATTAACTTTTCATTTGTAGTGACCAGAATATCCACAAAATAAGGATAAAAAAAGGATTTTGTATTCAAAGGCAGGCTTAAATGGGTAATTAAGAGAAACTAAATGTTTAGCACATGTTTCTAATATTCTGGGGTTAGTGTGGTAAAGTCAGCCAGTCCCTCTCAGCATTTGGAGCTAGACTTGGGCTAGTGCAGTTAATGAAATAACCAGGGTCCATTCTCATGCAGCAGTTGAACTCCATTAACTGTGCCCTTGATCTTGTCTTCCCATTATGTCCTCCTTTTAGGTACACGTCCTCACAAGTGCCCAGACTGTGACATGGCCTTTGTGACTAGTGGAGAATTGGTGCGGCATCGTCGTTACAAACACACCCATGAGAAGCCATTTAAGTGTTCCATGTGCGATTATGCCAGCGTAGAAGTGAGTGTTCAGCTTGTTGGCTACTCTTTTAAGAAGACCGTGGTACCAATATGAGGATATAAACTACCCAAACTGACTTAAGATGAGATAGAAAACCTTATTAGATTATTATCACTCCCACTCCCCACAACCAAAGGAAACTAGTGAGTGTGAAAGATTTACCCATTAAAGCACTAGTTCCACATGTCATTACAGGTAACTTCTACCAAACTTCACAGAAACAAATAACTGTACCCAGAGCATTTAGAAATGAAAGAGTTTATCACCTTTATTATTTGAGACTACCCTGTTACCAAAACTGGATAAGGATACTACCGAAAAGATAACTTTCTTATTCTCAAAGAAGAGCAACAATGCTAAGTAGGACTATTTAAAATCAAATATAGTAATATATTTTAAAAATAAGTGATCGCTAAATAGAATATATCTAAAGTGCAAGGATACAATTCAGCATTAGGAATTTATTGGTGTGTACGACATTGAGAGATTAAAGAAAAACCATGTGATCATTTCTATAGATTATTGAAAAACTAAAATTCAGTACTCAATTACTGTCTAGTAGAAGAAAACATCTATAAGGAGTATATACCAGAAACCTACAGTAAACCCATCCTACTTAACTCTGAAACATTGGAAGCATTCCCATTAAAATTTGGAACAAGACATCCATCTTACTGTTATTTCAACATTGGATTGGAAATCCTAGCTAATAGAATAAGAAATTCATGATAAATGGAAAAAACAAAACTGTTGTTTCTTTCAGACATATTTGCTTACATAGAAGATTCAATCCCTGGCCAGGTATCTCAGTTGGTTAGAGCATTATCCCAGTATACTATGGTTGTGGGTTCGATCCCTGGTCAGAGCACACACAAGAATCAACCATTGAATAGATAAGTGGAACAACAAAAACTGATGTTTCTCTCTTCCTTTGTCTCTCTCAAATCAGTAAAAATTTTTTAAAAGAAAATTCAAGAGTATTAGTTAAAAAACTTAAGAGTAATAAGTGTTCATTTGGGTGGCCAGATACAAGATAAAGACACAGAAGTCAGTGACTTACCTTATACTATCAATAGTAGGAAACAGGTTGAAATTCTAGCAGCAATAAAATGATTTAGAGAGAAACTGAACAACAGGAAACATCTAATACTGATGTGAAGAAAACTTACTTTTTCTGAAGGACATTAATAAACGAAGAGACACCACAAGTTGATTCTAAATTTCAAGTGGAAGAGTAAATGTGAATAACCAAAATTTCAAAAAAGAATGGGATTGTGCTATTGGATGTTGTAAAACCATATAGTAAATGAAGACGGTGTGATATTGGAGCAAAAATAAACAAGTAGCTTATTGGGACAGAATAGAGTCTTGCACATATAGGAGTTTAATGTGTGATGAGGCAAATCGGTAAGAATTATTCAGTAATGCTGTTGGGACCATTGTGAAATCACTTGCAGTGTGTGAAGATTTGTGTAGCACTTATGAGTGCAAGGGACTAGTGAGTGTGTTCAAAGCAGTTCTTAGAATCGAGTTTGAAAGTCACCATTTTGTTGGAAAGGTACCCCTGGAAAATGAACTGTATAGTCAGTAGTGAGGAAGGTGCATGAGAGGCCCCTGAAGCCTGGCCTGCCTGGGAAGTACTGATGATGGGAAGAGAGGCTGAGGGGAATTAAAACATGTGCTTATTAATTTGGATTCAAAATTTGGAAGAAAATTGATCCATAGATAAGCACAAATTATTTTAAACTATTACAGAACATTTCAAACAAAAGCAGATAGAGCCCTGGCTATTGGCTCAGTGATTAGAGTATCAGCCCTGAGGACTGAAGGGTCAAGTCAAGGGCACATACCTTAGTTGTAGGCTCCATCCTGGCCCTAGTAGGGTGCCTGTGGGAGGCAACCAATCCATGTGCCTCTCAGACACATCAGTGTTTCTCCCCCGGCCCCCCACACACTCTGGAAAGCAATGGAAAAAATATCCACGGATGAGGATTCAGAAAAGAATTTGTTGTATGCTTTGTGGGAATAAAGGAAATTATTAATTAAAAAAAAAAAAAGTAGATAGAATAGTATAATACACCCCCATGCCCCTGTCATCCAATTTAAAGTTCTTAAATGACCAATCTTGACTCATATATGCCCCTGTCCATTTGCCCTCTTCCCTTGGATTATGATAACGGATTTGAGAAACAAAAATGAGGAAGAAATACTATCTTTTAGACTTTGTATTCTGAACTTCAGTGCCCAAAAGCTAAGCTTTTGTGCCTAACCCACAACACTCAACATTACAGTCTGTGTTAATTGAAGTGTAAGAGATTTGGTTGCTTTCATGTTTCAGGTCAGCAAATTAAAACGTCACATTCGCTCTCATACTGGAGAGCGTCCATTCCAGTGCAGCTTGTGCAGTTATGCCAGCAGAGACACATACAAGCTGAAAAGGCACATGAGAACTCATTCAGGTAAGACTTCTCCCCTCCTTGTTGTGTTAGTGAACACAACTGCTTTTCAGTGGGGTCCCATGGCACGCTCTGAACCACCATATGCCCCTGTTATTACTGAATGGAAGCTGGCATGAAAGTATATAATTGATGAATGTTTTTTGGGCATATCTTCCAAATTTATTGTTCTGAATATACATTGAAGAATGGTAATTTTTTACTGTTAGAAAAGAAAAACCTACCTGTAGGTCCTCCTGTTATCCCATCTGCTCTCCCCTAAATATAAGCATTGCTGTGGGAACTACTTTCTAATATATATGACTCTGTGGCAGAGCTGGGCATAGCAAAGGTGGTGGCTGCAATTTAGGGCTTGTTTGCCATATCTGAAGATAGGCACGAGCCAATCAGTGGGCCTGAGCCTTGACCTTCCTGAGTAAGACCTAAAGATTCTCTATGCCTTTGCATATATGCCACCTGAATTACCCCTCCAATTAAGTGATAGTATTTAGTCATTTCATCTAATTTATTCATTCTGTATTTCTTTTTAAGGGGAAAAACCTTATGAATGTTATATCTGTCACGCACGGTTTACCCAAAGTGGTACTATGAAGATGCACATTTTACAGAAGCACACAGAAAATGTGGCCAAATTTCACTGTCCCCACTGTGACACTGTCATAGCCCGAAAAAGTGATTTGGGTAAGTAAATTAATAACTAGTGGCAAATGAGAAAGAGTATTTTGAAGGATTTGTGAAAGTATAAGATCATAACTTCTTTATCTTACTTGTGTAAGTTTGTGTATGTGAATGGCCTGCCACTTCATAAAAGCCATTATTTAGCTGCTTTTTTCCCCCTGTCTTTCTCTTAACTACAGTCAGGCCACAAGATTCTTTCTTGAATATAGCTCATCTATAAGTTAACGGGAGGTGTAATGAGAGGAAACAGTATATACCTTTACTTAGTAGCCAGAATGTTAAAATCCCTGAATAGGCAAGTGACATAGTATGAGTCAAACTAAGGTCAGTCCACTTCAGATTTTTCAAAAACAGTTATACTTTCTCTAGGTGATTGGACTGTTGGTAACTGATAACTACATTTCTTTGCAAAATTAAGCTAGAGTTTATATAGAGGCAGAGTTTAGCAGTAGAAATTTCAGTATGACATACTTTAAAGCTATGGTCACCTGTATTTCTCTGTTTATTTTTCTTATTAAAAAAAAAAATACTACCCCAGTCTGTTCTCCGTCCTTGAAAATACTTGTTATAAACATTTTGACATTTAGATAAATTACTATAATATACAAATTGCCTATGAGTTGTCAAATAGTAGTAGTTTTTACTTTTTTTTACTCTTGATCTTCACAACAACTATATTAAGTCACAAGGCATGTGTTCTAGCTTTATAGGTGATGAACCTGAGGCTCAGACAGGTGTCTTGACCAAAAGCTGCACAGTACAGCTTATGAGTAGCAAAACTGGACTTGAGTCCTCTTGAGTTGTTTTCTCACATTAAGGGGAATACACAAGTACCCAGGTCACATCAGGAACATAGATTTAAAAGTTACTGTCCTCTGATAAATGAAAGTATTACTGTTCTTACCATATAGAAACTAAAATCTAAACCAACAGTATCTCATGGCAATGTGTGTGAGCTGTTAGGCCACTGTCTGGATATTCAGGTTTATCTCCCAAAACCAATTTCAAAGAAATTTGTGTTTCCTCTTTAAAGCAGGCCTGATTTCACTCTAATATGCAGTAAATAAAATTCACCACCTTGTGACACAGGAAAGCATGAACTTTGGAGACAGACCTACTAGAGTCAAGATTCACTTCCAAATACTACTATGAGTCTCTTTTTCCCCCTCAGTTGATGTATAGGAATAATACCTACCTACAGGACTGTTATTACAAGTATTTAATAAGAACATATGAAAGAAAGTCTTTTACTGTTAGTTAGATCTCTATCAAAGGACCAGAAGGGGAAAGTTGAGGCCTAAAGATTATTTGAAATATATATGTGTTTATAAAAGGCCTTCATATCAGAAACATGGTGTAGTAAGTAAAAAGTGAGCCATCCCTTACCTCATTTCCATTCCCCAGAGTTGGCCCTCTTGAAGTTTGATTATATTACCTTGATTAAATCAGATTGGTAGCACCATAAATTAATGATCCCAAGTGCAGCGGGGCTCTCATTGCTCCTGGACAGTCCAGCTATTTGTCCTTGTCAGGAGTGCTCCCATTCTCCTTGGTAAGTTTGTTCATTGATTCGTTCCACAAATGTTTGGGTGCCTGCTATGTAGGAGGCACTGACAGTGAGGTAAATCACTTTCTTTAAACCTCTAATCTTCCCTTTTCTCTCTATCTCCCTGGTCTCAGTGAGTGACCTTTTTCTACTTAACAAGATAATGAGGGCAGCAGGTTGAAACTCCAATCAAACCTACCTGCATCTACATTCATCCTCTCTTTTCCCATCTTGTCTGTGGCCTGGCCCTTTGCATTTGCCTTGATCCCACTCTCCTGTCTTGTTGGCAGCCTTTAACACTGTCAGTATTGCCTCTATACCTTCATCTTCACGTTTTCACTCCTTGATCTTTCCCCTCAACTCTTAAGCATGCTTATGCCTCTTCTGTCTTTATTTATTTTTATTGATTTTAGAGAGAGGAGGGGAGAGAGAGTGAGGAACATCAATGTGAGGGAGAAGCATCAATCAGTTGCCTTCTGTATGTGCCCCAACCAGACCAAACCCGCTGCCTTTCAGTGTCTAGGACAACGCTGCGACTGAGTCACTCCAGTCAGGGCTTCCTTTCCTGTCTTTAAAAAATGATTTCCCCTTTTAGGTTTAACTTTTATCTCCTTCCTAGCCAACCCTCATGAAAAGTTATATTTCTCACATCCTCTGTTCTGCAACTCCTAATTTCCCTCCCATCTGGCTTATACCCCATCACTCTGTAAGAGACTTGCTAAGATCACTAATAACCCCACATTGCAGGTTGTAGGGTACATTGCTCTTCCCATCTCCCTTGATTTCTTAACACTATTTTTTGTAGTGGACTGTGCCCTCTTCTTTTTGTTATTGTTTTATTTTGTTTGTTTTTCTTTTTTGCCCTCCTCCTTAAAACACTTTTTTCCCTTTTTTCCCCATTCCAACAGAATGGCACTACATTCTGTTGGCTTTTAGATTTCTTAAAACATTCTTTATTTTGCTTAGTGATTTCATCAGCTCCCATGGTCTCACTCAAATTCTAACAACTCCTAAATATATGTTCCTTTGAGTTAGGGTTATATAACCATCTGTACCTTGCCATCCCTATCCTTACTTTGATATTGTTGGCATTCCAAATTCAACATGTCCAAAACTGAATCTTTAAAACCCCCTTCTAGCTGGTTTGGCTCAGTGGTTAGAGTATCAGCCCACAGACTGAAGGATCTGAGGTTTAATTTCAGTCAAGGGCATGTACCTCGGTTTCAGGCTCAATCCCGGCCCCTGTCGGGGCACGTGGAGGAGGCAGCCAATCGATGCGTCTCTCTCACATTCATATTTATCTCTGTCTCCCTCTCTTTCTCCCTTCCACTCTCTCTGAAAAGCAATGGAAAAAATAACCCCAGGTGAGGATTAAAAAATAAATAAAATAAAAACTACATTATTAAGAGAAAATTGTTTAAAAGATAAATAAAACCCCCTTGACCACCTCTCTTCCCAAAAACAAATACACACAGCTTGGGCTTTAGCCTTCTTCCACTGTTTCGTATCTCAGTAAATCGCCCCACCATCTACTTGGTTTTCTAAGCCAGAAACCAGGCTATTATCCCTGACACCTACTTTCCTCATCTGCACTCTGTACTCAGTCACTAAATCCTGCTGATTCAACTTCCTAGATTTCTCATCAGTTCTCATCCTTCCTTCGATATCCATTGCCTTCACCCTTGTCTAAGCCACCATCTTCTCACCTGTCCTGTTTCAGCATTTTAACTGGTCTCCCCAAATCTGTAGTTATTCCTCCTTTTAATTCATTTTCTGTATAGCAATCAGAGCAATTATTTTAAGAATCAGAAAGAAATTATTATTAACTTGTTGAAATGTTTGTTAGTGTTTTCACAAGTTAGACTGGACTTTATATTTTTCTTTCAGGTGTCCACTTGCGAAAGCAGCATTCCTATATTGAGCAAGGCAAGAAATGTCGATACTGCGATGCTGTATTTCATGAGCGCTATGCCCTCATCCAGCATCAGAAGTCACACAAGAACGAGAAGCGCTTTAAGTGTGACCAGTGTGATTACGCTTGCAGACAGGTAGAGACTCATAGTTAGAAAGCAGTCGATGCCTCATGGGTGTCAGGTTTCATCAGAGGGTTCTTGCAAACCTTTTATGGTGGCTGTTTTTAAGGATAATATTTTCAAACTATGATTTATGGAGGAATATCATCAAAGGTCTTGTTGATTGTATCTCAGTCTCCAGCTGATGTTTTATTTAGTCACAGCTTTCCCACTCCACCCCCACCTCAGGCAGACTACTGACTTCTTTCTTGGAACTGTGGGGATTAAGTTCAGGACTTGAAAGAAGGGAAGAATCTGCTCCTGGAACCTGATGCTTAGGAATGATCTAGAGAATCAACCCAGCAGGAGTGAGCATATCTGCCTGGGATTTGTAGAAGCAGTTTTGCACTCCAGTAAAAATCAGTTTATCTTCTCAACAAGCCTAGATCCTTGGGAGAGAAAAGCCTGTCAGCCACATGCACACAGGTGGTAGCTGGAGTAGCAGCCCTATGACAGACAGGCTCTGAAGCCTCTCCCTCCACCCCCTGTCTTTCAGGAGAGGCACATGATCATGCACAAGCGCACACACACCGGGGAGAAGCCTTATGCCTGCAGCCACTGCGACAAAACCTTCCGCCAGAAACAGCTCCTCGACATGCACTTCAAACGCTATCATGACCCCAACTTTGTCCCTGCAGCCTTTGTCTGTTCTAAGTGTGGAAAAACATTCACACGCCGGGTAAGAGTCAGAGCTTTACATCCCTTATGGTTCTTTTTTTTTTAATTGAATTTATTGGGGTGACATTGGTTAATAAAATTATATAGGTTTCAGGTGTACAATTCTATAATACATCATCTGTATATTGTATTGTGTGCTCACCACCCCAAGTCAGATTATAATGGTTGTTAATCTCCTGTCCTTGGTCTTCCACTGCACAGCAGAGCAGTTCTTCCCACTGAGGTAATAGACATAGAGATGTTCTATCCTTTGGAAAAGGCTAGCCATCCCCACTTCATAGTGTTGTATCCATGTGTGAACCCTTCTTCTGGTGGGAAACTCCCTGATACGTGTGTCCTGGTTCTTCCTTTGGGACCATGTTAGTCAGGTCTGCACAGGACAGGGAGCTGGTCTGATCCTCCCCTGCTCCTTTGGCCTGCAGGCTGCTGAGCCCTCCACTCAGGGGACCCAGCCTCATCTTCTGAGGGACTCTTTTGTCTCTCCCTCCTTTCTCTCTCCCTCTCTTTCCCCTCCAAATGGAGATCATTTCCCCTGAATGAGGAGAGAGCATGTTTAGGACATGCTTTGGCAGACATTCAGACTTAATATAGATACTCCACTTTTTATTTTATTAAATTTAAGGAGAACTTCCAATGCTCATCTTTACTTTTTTAGTAATGTGAAAGAGGGTTTGTTCCTTCTGTTAGAATACCATGGCAAGACATGCTGATAATTGTGCCGGTCCAGATGGTGTAGAAGGAGAAAATGGAGGAGAAACTAAGAAAAGTAAACGTGGAAGAAAAAGAAAGATGCGCTCTAAAAAAGAAGACTCCTCTGACAGTGGTAAGTGGCTTGTTTCTTGATTTAGTTGCACGTGGCAGATTTTGGTACCCAGTGGTGTATAGATATGCTGGGATATAGAAGTAGGCCAGTGCTTCCTCTAAACCTTTGATCTTCCTAATGTGTGTATATATTTACAACAGCAGTTAGTTTGTCCCTGGGGCAATTTTTTTTTCCTTTTTTTTTCATGGCATTCTAGAAATTGCTTAATAATACCTTTTATGTTATGTTCATTTAAAGCCAAAGCAAAATTAATATTTTGACTCAGTGTACTCAGATTAGTGATATTTTGAGGCCAGCAGAGTTTCTTTTCTATGTTCATAACTTTTACATTTAGGAAGCTGGTCTAGATTTGAGCAATGAATCTAATGGACATGAAGAAGGTTGCTTAAGCATCTTGACCAACTTCTGGTTTGACTGCCTCTGTCAACCTAGCCTTGAGATGTGTTGATCAAATTCATGAAGGTCAGCCTTTCTCTTCCTTCCTAAATCTCTCCATTTATGTTTTAAAACTTTGCCTATTTTCCTACCATTGATGCTCTTTGGGATGTTTTTGCCTTTCTAGTCATGAAATCCAGGCAGAAGGTTTGCTTTGAGGTGTTAGACTCAGGAAGAGGGAGGGAGAACAGGAGTGTTGGTAATGTAGGAGTCACATTTGAGGATCCAAATTTGTTCGAAAACGTTAGTTAGGTTCTATAATGTGGGTACTTGGGCTACTGGCACCCCATTGAGAAGGCACATCTGTGACTACAGATTTAAGCTTTTTATGGAAAAGAATGTAGAGGGGTTTTGTTTTGGAGAGTGTACTTCCCCAGAAACACCATCAACTGGAGAGCTTACAGATGGTGCCTAATGTATCTGTAAGGATTCCTCATTTTGTCTTCTATGTTACTTGTTAGTAGAAGTAGGAAGGGAAGGAAGTTTTTAAAAATTGAATATATTAAAGAACTTCAGTCACTTTATTGATTTTATTGTAAAACTTGCTCATGAAAGCGCTATGTTTTCTGCATGTAGATCTGTAAGACAGTCCCTTTTATTTTTATTTATTTTAGGAAAACCTTCACTTTTCTATTCAGAACTTTAGCTTTTTCTGGGAGAATATTTATCCAGTAAGCATAAGAGTAATTTATTTTTGCTGCCTTTTTTGGTGCAAAGTGTATTTTAAGTAGTGTCTTCTTCAGTCTTTAAGTTTTAAGTGACTACCTCCTTTAAAATGTCAGTGTGCCCTCCAGCATGGCTCAGCAGTTGAGCATCAACCTATGATCCAGGAGATCATGGTTCGATTCCCAGTCGGGGCACATGCCCCGGTTTTGGGCTCAATCCCTAGTAGGGGGCAGCTGATCAATGACTCTCTCATCATTGATGTTTCTATCTCTCTCTCCCTCTCCCTTCTCCTCTCTGAAATCAATAAAGGTATATTTAAAAAAA